TTAAAAAAAAAAAAAAAAAAAAAAACAGGAATCAACTCAAGTTTGTCGAAGGTATGCCCTTACAAAAAGTTGCAATTTTTTTTAAAAAGGATGTTTTTGAACTCACGTCGGTAGGTTTTAGAGAATCCAATGCCTTACGGTAGAATACCACATCACGATTTGAGGTCGGACCACTGTGTTTTCCTTTCCATCTGAGTACAAAAGGAAAGCATTCGTGAATCGGGTCGTGGTGAAGCTTGGGCCGGCCAACATTCAGATGATAGAAACTCCAGCACTACAAAAAGAGGAAAACTTGCAAATTAATGGCATAATTACAAAACCCATCTTCAGAATTTTATGAATTGAGAAATTGCCATAGGTAAGTGTATATGTGGTAGAGAAACACATGCGTAACTTCTGAGAGTTAGCAGTTTAGCCCTTTAATTCTCTCAATGATGACCACCAGTCAAATAGTAATTTCAGTCCTACAATCTTCATAAGCATTCTTATCTATTGTGCATTAAATGAAGGCATTACGGTCGGTAAGGGGAATATTGACTTAGCCATTCAGGACCGAAATCACACCAACTTATAACATCAAGAACCACAATTTATTGATTCCAAATTTCTGGAGAATAAGCTGCGTTTTTTCCCGTTTTCCTTTAAGAAGCACAAAAGGGGGAAAAAAAAAATCAAGAAAGAGCAAACCAATACAGCATTACTCAACCTGCAATAGAGTCAAACAGCCACTGATAGTGCTTTGCGACCTGAGAGAGGCATTACCGAGCGCCCTGTACAAGAACGACAATGAAGCTGCACCCCAAGCGTACTTTCCCGCCTCATCAAAATCCTCGAACAACGGAAGGTACATAACAGGCACCTTGTTACCTGTAGTGGTCGAAAAAATCGTGCTCCCAATTAGATAGAGAAGGTAAGCGCGCGTGTGGCACTTTACCTCCTCAGCAGACGCATCCTGAGGACACACGGAGAAAGCCTCCTTTAGCCAGCTCAGCTTCACCATCCCGCCACTTGTGTACCCAGAATCTGGTGACTTACCCAAATACTTAACACAAACCGAGTCACAAGCGGTGTAAGTTACCCCTATAACAGGTTCACCATCTATTCTCAGCCCGAGCAGGTAAGCAACATCCTCGAGCGTGATGGTCATCTCGCCAACTGTCATGTGGAATGTGTTTGTTTCCTTTCTCCATCTCTCGACCAAGGCAGATATGAGAGGGTTATCGAGGCTGATTGCCGGGATTAATCTCAGATAGCCAAAACCGGCTCGTTTAACGAGTTCTATCTGTTTGTCTGTAAGAAGCCAGCGGTCGAGCTTGGAGGTGTGCTCGTGGCATCTGAGTGCACCCCTCTCCTGTTAGTGTTAGAATTAGATGTAATGCAAGTTACAAGAATGGAGAGAGAGAGAGAGAGAGAGAGAGAGAGAGGCAAATCTTGCATAGAAAAACACCTGTCCTTCCCAAACGGCAGCTGAGACATGCTTGTCTTGATCGTATAAGATAGAATCATCGACAGGTCCAGGGTTGGTTGCATAACAATCCATCACGTTTCTGTAAGTTAAATCTGTTGAAAGGGAAGTAGTGTAAGACATGAGTTGATTACTCATAGTTCTTGATTGTTTTACTATGTCTGAATACAAACATGTACCAAGATTTCAAATGGAGGAAATAAAATTTTCTAGGATGCAATTCAACAAGTGATCACCTACGTGGCTATGTATAATGAGGTAGGATACATTGAAAACGAATTTGGGGTAAAAAAAAATAAAGCAATTGAGCAATAAATCCAGAAACAAAAAAACGAGAGAATTAACAAAGCCAAGTCAATTTCAGCTGAATAGATAAATCACAAATTAAAATTTTAGCCATGCTCTCATATACAGACGGACGCTTCAGTATACTGTCAGAAGTTAAAAAAAATTAAAAATAAAAAATTATCATATAAATAACAGGATGAATAAAAAAATCACAAAACTAATTGAAACTTTACCATTCTTTGGTTCGAATATGTGAAGGATAAAGGGACTTACTGGAGGAAGGATAACAATCTTCAGACTTCATCTCAATTGCATTGATTCTCCCCTCAGAGCCCTTTTTTTCTCTATAGGGAAAACCGCCAATTAATGTGGGTCAACAAGCATTATTTTTCACGAAATAAAAGGGAATATTTACAGAAAATCAAGAATTGAAATGGGTTTTTTGATCGACGGCCGGGATTCGGTGAAGATAACCCGAAAGACGAAGGTGACAACGACCCGCAGGGGTTGAAATGGAAGAAGGGACTGTGGTTGATGCACAGTAGAGAGATGTAAGAGATGGGTTGGGCTCTGTCCTCTGTGAGAAAAAACAAACCCTAATATTTTAATTAAATTTGATTAAAGCCGGCCCAGAATTACATTGTCTAAAAATCATTTTGTTTCTCTTTTCCTTTTTTTAGTAAATCGCACTGGCCCGATGTTCTAAAGCTAAATGCACAACCGAGCCGAATAGAAAATCGAACCATGCAATTTGGTCAGGTCCGGTTCCATTTTTTAGTATGATTTTTTTTTTTTATTTGATTTTAATTTGATATTTTTCTACACTGCAATTTTAGTTGTAATTTTCACAAGTTTGACTTTTTTTCTCTTGTTGCGTGCGATTTTGCATCGAAACGCACTAGATTAATTATTAATGTATACTAAAATCGAGCTAAAATCGACAATTGAGTTAAATCGCACAATTCAATTCAATTACTTTATTGTAGATAAAATTCACTTTGATATTGGTTATATTTTTCCTATATTACAGTGCGACTCATTTATTTATATTGTAAGTCTGTCTTTTCATGATTCTATGTGGTTAAGCACTCAACCTCAATGTTGTTCACCTAGGATTATTGATCGCATACACAATGAACTCTATATGTCTGACAAGCTGTTGGTGTTTTAGGCCCTGATTGATTATAAATTATATAATTTTTTTTTTAATTCAAAATGTAACTCAAATTTAACTCAATTCAATTATTTTCAGTATTATCAATATAATTAAGTAATATGAATCGATCATCCTTAGATATAATATCAATTTTAATTCATCATTAATGTAATTTTAACTATTCGTCACTTTCAATCACTCATCTCATACTTTTACATCAAATCAACTTTAACTATTATATTTTAAATATTATTTTAATACAAAACTCCGAATGATACTCAAACCCAACTCAATCAGTTTTTTCAAAATTAACCACGGTTATCCAAAAAATCGAATCAAATCCAATCACCCCTAGAATTTCAAAATGATGATAATCTATCAGCAAATGAAAGAAATAAACCATGGTTACTGTTGACATCCAAACTAGCAGCCCCTTTAATCATACTAGTTTTTGTCCCGTGCATTTGCACGGAAAACTATATAATACATGAAAAAATAATAAAAATTATAAACAATAGTAAAAAATCATAACAAAATCATTAAAAAAATTAAGAAAAAAAATATAAATATTCTTAAACACTTCTTTATAAAACAACGTAGTGGTTTTTCTATCGTCAAAATCTCTCTCAGCTCAAATCAAAATCTTCAAACCCTACTGACTCATAACTCTAAAAAGCGTCACGTATAATTGCTCATGACTAAATGCCGAGCTCTTCAGTAGTAAGCCGACGTGCGACAGAGACTATCTTTGACTCTTACTGATCATGTCATACCATAGGAAACACTTCTTTATATTGTTTGTCCTTGACTCTTATTGATTGATAGAGATTGTCCTTGCTTCTTAATAAAAAAATACCATCTAAATATAAATGAGTAAATATAATATTAATTTTTTATATAAACAAAAAATTTAAAGATTTGTAATAGATCTGTAAATATATGTATTTTTTTGAGTTTTTTTTTTAAAAACTCGTAATGAGATTTCCATTAGGGTTAGCTTCCAATGGACTGGAACTGCCCGCATCGTGATTTTAAGAGGCCGATTAAGGCCCTTTTGTTATATTTAATCACAGTCAGAATTTTTTTACGTATGTTTAATTTTTTTTTCGTGGATTCAAGTTATTTCAACGATGTTCTTTTTATATATCTAAGATTTTTTTTTTCCTGATTTATATAAATATAAGCACATTTAACTAATTTTTATAAAATTTATTGAAAAAAGTTACTATTTTTTTAAAAAAACTGATAAGATATTATGATAATACTTTACTTAACATAAATGTGGGATTAATTAAAATAAATATTTTAATTTAGTCATTAACTAATTAAATTTAATTATAAGAAACCTTCTTAAATGTGAAATTAATTAGTAATTAATTAAAAAAATGTAACTCCTTTTGGAGGGAAAGTGAAAATATTTTTATTAAATGTTTTATTAAATACTATTAGCTAGCAATTATATATATATAGATGACATGGATAGATTAACTAGTCGCCCGACCTAAAAGAGGCAAGTCGACCAGACTCACCTACTACAAACAACAGGTCGGTATAAACCAAGAATCATGCAGGATACCCGACCTCTTCACCCCGTGGTCGACCTACGATCATAAAGAAAAAAGGAGAGCAACCTGAGAATGAAGCAAGTTTTGTGAAGAACTCGGATATCCCACCTCATAGGAGCCGGCCATAATCCCTTCAAGATCGGTCTCTGACAACACATTTACTGTGGACGTGACGTATATCCATCGTACTGATGAGAAACAACCCTCAGGCGTGGGACCTACCATGCAGTGCCGCACGTCTCCATCATATCTCATCAAATGGCAATTTGCATGCATTAAGAACCGCACCCGTCTCATAGTATAAATAGCTCGCATCAAATGGGTTAGCTTGACACTAAAAATGTCTACACCAGAATCGTTGGATCATACACATGCACGCACACAGATACTCGTAATGGATGTTTGTTGATCTAACGGCTATCCGGATGTTTGTTAATCTAACGGCTATCCAAAATAGATACTTGAGTTTTTCAGCATTTCGTAAGCTGCTAAATAACCCAATTCAAGTTTAAGAACTCTTCTAGCTTTCATAGCCCTTTATTCATTAGTCTGTCATCTTTATTTGGGTTGATTAGAAATCAAAAAAATAGAGTACTTTAATGCACCCTTTCATGTAAAGTTGATATGATATACTTTTGCTCAAAATAGCAAAATTTATTATATTACAAGTTTGGCATTCTCAATAGCCAAATTTGATATTATTAATTCGGATCACAAATTTATTATAATTGGATCACAAAGTCAGCCAAATTTGATATTATGAAGGTGTTACCACTTACCAAGATGAGCCTATACATATCATTGGCCCAATACATTATATAATAATGAGAAAATTACTCGTGGGAGGAGACTATTTTTTTTTTATTTGTTAATTTACGAAACTAATTATTTATCTATCTATACTTATATAACAAGGTGTACCATTTACGAAATTTAGTAAGTTGAAAAGTCAATGCAATAAATGCATTACTATTTTGAGCAACATAATATAATATCATATCTATACTTATATAAAAGGAGATTCTATTTATTACATTTATTATCCAAAAAAGTCAACTGCATTAAATGTCATTACTATTTTAGTATTATAATATTTTATTTATTTAATTGATTTATCTATTTATTTTATTTTAAAAAGGTAAGTATAATAAAAAAAATTTAATAATAAAAAATATCAAATACCAAATAAAAATGTACACTTTGACTTATTTGATTATATTTGGTATTTGATTATACCAAATATATTCCTATTTAGTATATACATTAAATACTTACTAAAGTATTATTTGTTCTATTTGTCAAAGTTAAATATAGATTTGTTTATATTATTAAATCATAAAAAAATATTAAATCAATATTGTAAAAAAAAAATTATATAATTTATAACAATTCAACTACACTATTTAACAATATTCTTTTTTTATTATATAATAAAATAATAATTAAACATTATATGGTGAACAACAATAAGTAAAATTGTTACTTTGTCTTATATCATGGGATAAATTTATATGCTAAAATTAAATTTTTATTAGTATAAATGTTTTAGTGAGATAATATATTAATTATTTTACAAGCTAGTCCTAACATGCTCATGTTTAATGTTTTAAAAGATGTAGAAAAAAACTTATAATAACTCTATTGTCTTTTAGACTTAAACGTTGATTAAAAGAGGTAAAAATTTCCAATTTTTTTAATACTTAAACGTTAATTAACACCATAGATTGAGAGTCTATATTTAGTAAAATTTCTAATTGTAATAAAAAAAAGATTTTGCTATATTTTAAAATATCTTTAAATTCATTATAAAAAAAAAAGAAAAAAAAACTACAAAGAAAAAAGCAAGTCAGCTATATATCGATTTGTTGTACTCCTCAAATCACATTCACAATTTGGCTACAAGGAAAGGAAACTCATTGATTAAAATATTATTTTGTGAGTAGTCTTAATGTACAAGAGATTTTAAGACTCCACTTGAATATTATAAAACTTTTATTGAACATTGTACAATTTTCTTGCGTATTATAAACTTTTATTGAATATTGCATCTTATAATATAATATTCTCCAAATAAATATATCCCGTGCTTCGCACGGGTCACGTACTATATATATCCCGTACATTTTTCTTTATTCATGTATATAATTATAAGCCTGGATAAATAGCTTTAAAATTGTGCACCCCGTGCATCGCACGGGCTCTGTACTAGTTTACAAGCATACGTGGTTGGTCATATAATACAAAACTAGTTGATTTGTCGACGCTACAATTACGGATTCATCTTACTTTGAAGGGTGAGTGGGCAATTTTTTAGGATAAGTTACTATCAAAAGCGAATCTCTTTTATTTATTTTTATTACTTCAATTTCTTCTATTTTGGGAAGAAGATATATTCTGATTTTGTTGAAGATCAAGATCTCCACATATTCAATTTTTGGTCTCACCGATTGTTTTGCTCAGACACCAACGTAAATATAAATATATACGGTATATCAACAACAAATATATTTATAAAATTGAAACATACCTTTGCAACCGAAAGACAATGAACAAGATCACGTATATTTTCGGTATATAAAACAT